AGGCAGGGGAATGGATTGGGAGTGTCTAGCATGTATGATCATGAGGTCCTGCAGGTTTCCTCAGTAACCTGGAAGCCCTCCTCTTGCTGCCAGGGGCACTCCCAGAGCCAGCAGCCCCACCTCTCAAGGTCTCTGAGCTCAAGCTGGGTAGACACCATGTGTACCATGTATACTGGAGTGAGATCCTCTACACTCCTGAGGCCTGGCCCGTCTCCTCAGAGAGACAGGTCCAGCTGTGGACCGAAGGCTGGGGCCATTTCCCTGGATCCCAAGAGTCAGGTGGCCAGAGACAGGAATCACTCTCACCAGGCACCTGTGGGCTCTCCTCTCACCTGGGAAACACAGACTCTGGCATTTTGGAGTCAGCATCACAACCTTTCACACACTCCGAAGTGAGGTCCTGCTACCCAGACACCGGGCATGGTACAGCCACCATCTTGACTTCTCCCCCTTCACCTTCTTCCCCTCTTCCTCCCCCTCCTCCTCCTCCCCTCCTTTACAGTGTCTAAGATTCTGTCAGTGAGAACTAGAAGAGAAACAATTAAGATACACAGTGGAAAGTTCTAAGGAAAAGAAAGAAAACCTTCTAGATGAAAGACTGTTTTAGTACCTCAAGCATTGATTTATCTAACACAGAGCTCCCTGAAACAGAGAGCATGTTAAAGGATTTGAAACAGGAACAAAGATTACCAGCACTCTCATTTGGATTATTTGTGCTGTCCACTTAATGTCTTTAATAATCTTAGGTTATTTAGCAGCCCTTCGAGTTGACTAAAAGCAGTACAGATGATTGTCCTCCCTAGAAGCACACATGAATTTAGTTTGCTGGAGACTGAAATGGTCCCTTCACCAAGAATCAATCCAGTTTTGTCTCTTAATAGAGGCATCTTGACATTGTGTACAAGTATGTGGATGTGTGTGTATGTGTGTGTGTGTTTCTTCAGTGAGTCAACTAAATCTTACTAGTTCTCTCATTAATTGATGAGATGAAAGCAAGCTTCATCACATCTTTTATTGATATGACAGGTTTGATTTACTCTCTTAAGATCTTTGACCATTGTGGATCATTGACTCTGGTGGAGAAGGATAAGCTGTGCTGACCGGGGGTGTGCTTCTCTTCTGCTGTGCACCTGGACACACCTTCAGGGTAGCCGGGGGGGGGGGGAATCCCAAAGCAATGGAACTTCAACCTGGATGCTTCTGTTTCTCTAGCTCCCCACCACACACCTTACTGCTACCGACAGAATGCTTTGCTTGTGTTTCTGGGTCCCAGTGGCTGGTAAACAGACACCACTGAATCATGGCAATGAGGGAATTTAGTTTAGTTTTTATTTATTTATTATTATTATTATTATTATTCTTTGAGTGTCACACAAATCTTTGTTTATTGTTTTTCTGTTTGTCTATTGCAGTTAGTTAATTGTTTTTTTTTTTCCACTTAAGACAAAGTCTTACTGTATATTCCAATCAGCCCAACTTCTGTATCCTAGGTCAGCTTCCTCAATTCTGGTAGCATTATTCCTAAATGTTCTGCTGTTTGTCCGTTCTTAGCCCAAATAATTAAGAGTCACCTGTATATTAGGAAGAGCAGGCCTCCTTTGATATCTTACACAAAGTTACATCATGAATGTTGTAATTCTTTTATAATTTGCTCTTGACAAGTAGCCGAATTTACAGTTTTGGTTTGAGTCTACAGAGCAGTGGTGGCACAGGCCTTTGATCCCAGCACTCAGGAGGCAGAGGCAGGTGGATCTCTGAGTTGGAGGCCAGCCTGGTCTATGGAGTGAGTTCCAGGACAGTCTGGGCTACACAGAGAATGCCCCCCAAAATAAGCCAAAGCAAAGCTGTGAGTCCTTTATGTGTCTGTTGCTTTCTGTGAATGCGAAATGCCTGTCCTTCAATTTAATTGAATCCCATCTGACTGCCCACAGAGATTAAAAGGAGTTCATATAAATTGGATATGCCTAGAATACTTATGAAATAAAAAAAATTGAATTTCCAATGCCAATTTAGGGTCATTTTAAAGTGCAGGTCTTTGGCAAAGTAAGATTGGCTTATGGAAAGCTATGCCACTTTTCTCATTTTTCTTTTTTATTGACAACAGAATGGATAGTATTTTTTGCAGTTCTAATGTATTTTGGTTACTGTTATTAAAATATTGATCCTTTAAAAAAAATCTATATACTGACTGAAATCCCAGCTGTTGTTCATCAAACACATTAGGAAAGGTTATGGAGCTCAAATTACAGAACATCTATTTACTTTCTAAATGTAGAGTTTATTTTTCAAATAACAAAACTTTTCTCACTTTTCAATTCACAATACATGCATAATTTCATTTTACTTTGCTTCCTGAACTTACCCTAAACTCCTCAAGTAGGCTACTATTCGCCAGCATGGTTGGTTGTGTGCTGTGTACCAGTAATCCCAAGGCTGAGGTAGGAAGATGGGAAACTTCAAGCCAGCCTGGGCTACATAGTGGCTTCCAGAGCTGTCTCAAAGAGAAAGAAAACCTTCTGTTGTTTGTAGTTAACTGTCATTTGGGATTACAAATTATGGATCCGTACGTTCAGCTAAACTCAATCACACTGGCGAACGTTTTGTTTTTAACAATAACTATACACGCACTTTTTAGTTGACTTTAAAAAACTTTGGCTGATATTCATTTCAGTTAGTTAATGGGTAATCTCCAGATGTTTACATGGTATTGATTTCTAAACATCATTTTGCACCTGGCTTGTGTGCTACAGAAGGGCCGTGTCTTGCGTCCATGTGACTATTTCAGAAGACGTGGGGGGTGGGGTGGCTGTAGGATGCTGAGTCACGAGTGATCATGAGTGTTCCTCCTCTGCTTTAAAAAATGGTTACAATTAGTGGGTCACACACACAGTCCTCCCTTGTGTCTCTGTAGAGTTCTTAAGGTAAACGGAGTGACTGAGCATCTACAGGGTCAATTGTGACACCAGTAAAACTGTGCTTGGAATTTCAGTTTTCTATGGAAGAACATTCTTCCATGCCCAAACACATCAATTTTTAAACTTTTTAAATTTATTACAATTTATTCATTTTGTATCCCAGCTGTAGCCCCACCCTCATCCCCTCCCAATCCTGCCCTCCCTCCCTCCCTCATCTCCTCCCATGCCCCTTTCTCAGTCCACTGATAGAGGAGGATCTCCTCCCCTTCCATCTGACCCTAGCCTATCAGGTTTCATCAGGACTGTCTTTCTGTGGCCTAGTAAGGCTGTTCCTCCCCTCAAGGGGAAGTGAACAAAGAGCCAACCACTGAGTTCATGTCATAGACAGCCCCTGTTCCCCTAACTAGGGAGCCCATTTGGAGACTGAGCTGCCATGGGCTACATCTGTGCAGGGTGTCTAGGTTATCTCCATGAATGGTCCTTGGTTGGAGTATCAGTCTCAGAAAAGACCCCTAGGCCCAGATTTTTTGGTTCTGTTGTTAAGTCTTCCACCACAAAGTGGGAGCATTGGGCTTTCCTTGGGCTCTTCCAGAAGCACTTCTTTACGAACTCATCCATCTCACTGTCTGATGCTCAGAGGTCTGTATCTTCCCACAAAGGGGATGGGTTTCTGACGTGTATCTGCCCTCTCAATAGGAGCCTAAGATCTCCCGGCAGCTGAGAGCACTGTGAGCAGAGGTCATTACTGACCTGAGTGCTAGGGAGAAAATAGATATGAAATTTGTGTAAAGTCATGTTTTAGGGGATTGTAGTGGAAAAGAAATGATCTGGGGGTGTGTCTGCATGGTAGTGTATCCTAGTGCTTGGGAGGAAGATCGGAAGATCGGAAGTGCAAGGTCATCTTGATGTAGTGGGTTTGAGGCCAGCCTTGGATATTCAAGGCCCTGATTTAAAAAGCAGCAGCAGCAGGAGGAGGAGGAAAAAACTGATCAAAACAGTCTTGTGTGTGTGCTGCACAGTGCCCAGACAATGGGTAACAGCATCTGAAGTCTGGCTTCTCTGCTGGCTCAGGTATGTTTCCCAGGATCCAGGGGGCCATTTCACATTCTCTCCCCAAGAACCATCATAAAAATCATCACCAAAGGACACCAGCAGGCAATGTCATCCCCACCCAGGCTGGACTTCACAGAGACTAGATTCATCTTGTTCTGCTCCACAACAGTATTGACAATTTGTCCGGTTCTCATCCGGGCATCCAGGCTCCCTCCCAGGGAGGGAGGGAGATTAAGTCTGTCCCACTGGCTCTGTCCTCCTCCACTATTTGGGAACATCTGGTCTGGCTTCGCTCTGCAGGAGTCAAGCTTCCAGGATCCGTCGAGATGGGAGAAATTGTACGCACTTCTGTTAGGCAGCCAGCCAGGGCATGCAAGCCTGCGCTGCAGATACTAACGAGGATCAGAAGTGCAGGGAAAGACAGGTCAAAGACACATCCATCTCTCAGTAGGGCTTGAGTATGGCACCAGTGCAGGTGGCAGGGGAAGGGACAGCTGACAGAGAGAGCACTGGAAAGGAAAGAGAACAATCAGGAAGAAGAGTAAGTGCTTAGGTGCAGTCCTGTAGCCCTGTGCTGAGAATCTGGGGCCTGGGAGACAGACTCCTAAAGAGCAGTTAGGAAGGAAAGGGCTTCAGGTGGCAGCAGGTAGTTGCAGGGAGTTGGGGACAGTGGTATAATCATGGAAAAGAAGGGTCTCTGAGAGATCCAAAGGCTGGCCACAAGACGCTCCCCACCCCACATGGTTCTGGAGAAAGGGTGCTGGCTTTATTATATCCTCAAAGGGTCCCCCTTCAGCTCACAACATGAACTGGGATCCAGTATAGCCAGTTTTTGTATGGAGGCATAGCTTGCTGCCTTGGTCCATCCTCTGGCCAGGTAGCAGGTGTCACTGGGAAGTCCTCCAGAACCCAGCAGGGCCTGTGCCAGAGCAATCCAAGGCCACTCATATACTTGGGCTGGAACAGTTTCTACCCCACTAACTTACCAGGGCTCTGCTCAGGCCTTGACCTTGTGAGTGCAGGCCTTGGGAGAGATAGCATCATCCACTCTTGCCAGAGTCAACAGGGCTCCCTGTCTGTGAAGCCAGCAGCCTTTTCTGTAAGGGAGAGGAGGGGACCGCCATGTTGACACCTGATTAGCAGGTGTGCTTAGCTTTTGTCTTGACAGGTCTAGCTGGCTTCCAGCCCTTGTCTTTTTGTCCTTAAGGAACCCAGTGGATCATGGCCTTTTTCCTCTCTGTCTCAGATTCTCTGAGCTTTCTGTCAATAGCCATAATTCTTCAGTTTCAGACCCTTAGACACGTTCTTTCACTGACAGGGACCCTCTGCTTCTAGAAACCACAGTGCAAGAATGCAGAGTCAGCTCCTGAGTGGGCAGGAGTATTGGATGATTCTCCCTGGCTGTGATGGGCTCCTTTGCAAAGGACAGAGGTGAGCAGCACCTTTGCAGGCCGATTCTATGACGTGATGCCAGTCAGTTATCCATCACTATGACAAAACACCCGAGGCGATCAAACTGAAAAGAAAGATAGGTTTACCTGTCTGTGGTTGCAGAGGCTTTCATCCACAGTTGGTTGGCTCCATTGCTTTGGGGACTGTCATAAGTAAGGCAGAGGGAGAGAGTGGTTGAGAAAGTATGCTCACATCATGGTGTCTAGGAAGTAATGGGAGAGTCCTAACATTCCCTTCAGGACTCATACCTACTGACAGCTTTCTTCCATAAGCCCCAGCTCCTAAAAGTCCCCCCAAATTTTAAGGTCACAAGGAGGGGGAAAGAAGCTCTTTGCCCACAACTACATCAGGACTCTTCTCTTCAGGCTCATCTCATAGAGCTGGAGGTAACACAACTTACACACATCCTCTGGTTTGGATCTTAGATGTTCCTCAAAGGCCCTAGTGTAGAAAGCACAAATCCTTACCTATAGACCCCCTAGGAGATGGGGCTTATGGGAGGAAGGAAGATTTCTAGGGAGGAGGATCTCCCTTATCAGTGGACTGGGGGAGGGGTACAGGTGGTGAAGGGGGAAGGAAGGTGGGATTGGAAGGGGAGGAGGGAGGGAGGTACGGGGGGGGGGATACAAAATGAATAAACTGTAATTAAATATAAATTTAAAAATACAATGTGAAAAAAAAGAAATCCATAATAAAACATGGCAACTATCAAAAGATAGATAGATAGATAGATAGATAGATAGATAGATAGATAGATAGATAGATAGATAATAAAATGGAGTGGCTTGTGTCAAGCCTTGACCAGAAATAAAACAAAGCCAGAAGGATCCCAAAAGATACCTTGTGCCTGAAGACTGTGTAAGAAGAGGTCCCAAGGACCAAGAGAACCACAGCCTTGCCGGGCGACCACTGCATCCGTAAGCAGAGAAAACTTCTGCAAGGATGTGTGTGCCCAGTAAGCTGTCCAGTCCTGTTATTGGCCATTGTAGCCACAGCCATGATTCTAGAAACACCTGTGTGATCCTCCTCATTTTGTCTTTAGCAATCTTCATGTGTTCTGTCTCTTTGTGTCATATTCCCTGACAATGTATCTTACTCTGCAAAGTTCCCTGCTTCATTTTCAAAGAACGTTGCCATCCTTCAGTTTCTTTCCACCTGCTTGTTAGGTGGACAACTCTAAGCCAGTGACAACGGCATGGCAAAGTTGGCTAACTGTGCCACAGACACTGGTTTTACATGTTGCCTCCCTCGCTTCCACCCAGGCACTTGCTACAAATTTCTCAGCTTCCCTGAGCCTGTTTCATCCCCTGGAAAATGTGTACCATTCTGTGGGTGATGGTATGGGAAGCGCCTGGTGCCCAGCAGGTGTAATAGATGGGAACTCTCCTTCCTTGGCGCCCTTTGTAGCAGATTCTCTGGGGGTGGGGCTCTGGGTAGGTATTTTTAGAAACCTCCAGGTAACTCATATGCAAGGCCAGGTGACACTGTTTCTTATGACACCTGGCACTGTACCTAGAGTCTGCCCTTGTTCCCTGGGAAGGGCTGACTGGGATCATAGGGTGAAACTCCACAGCAGGAAAGAGATGCATTCCACAGATGGCTGGTCAGAGCCATGGACCTTAGGAACTGATGGGAGACAGGGCCCCATCCTAGAAGGCAAGTGTGCCTTCTCCACGGAAGCACAGCTGTGGGCTCTCAGGAAGGAAGAGGTCTGAGAATGGAGGTGCCAGTTTCCAGTTAGCCACTAGAGAAGTTTGGCTGGGAAAGGACAGATACTGGAGATAGCATGAGTGAAGGTGGTTTTAAGAGAGGACGGAGTGAGCTAGTGTTCCAGGGATAACAAGAGCTTAATTTAGCAGCTGATGTTTTTCTAAGGGTTGATTGTTAACTTGGGGGGGGGTTGTTTGTTTGCTTGCTTTGCTGCTATGGTTTGTCTTTTTAAAAACTATAAAGCATGCAATATATAGAAAGTGCACAAGCCAAACCTGTGTGACTAACCAAATGCAAGAATGTGCAGCTTCCTTGGTGAGGCATCACCAAAGACTCCACTGCCCCACCCTTTGAGCCTCCTCCAACCTTTTCCCTCACCTTCTGCAGGCAGGCAGGCTGTTTCTACCAGGAAAAGGAGTCCAACCTTATGGCCACTGCCTGGAACCTCTACTCTTTGTTGTTGTGGGCTCTTGTTTGTTTGTTTGTTTTTGTTTTGTTGGTTTTGAGACACAGTCTCCCTCATGTGTCCTGTAATGTACCCTGTAGATCAGGTTGGCCTCTAACTCACAAAGACCCATCTTCCTCTATGTCCCCAGTGCTAGGAATAAGGGTTTGTGCTGAATTTCCACTTTTTTGGACCACTTCACCTGTGGGTGGGGGAGAGGGGTCTCTGCAAATGCCACAACCAGCAGAGTGATGATCTGCATGAAGCAAGAAGGAAATACAGTTTGACACAACTCAGTAGCTGGCATTCTTTCAAACATCAAGACTGATTATTTTAGACATATGTAAGTACAGTACAATGAGGGGGGAGTTTCCTCATGTAACACAGTCCTGTATGCACAATGAAGCTTGAGAAATAAGTACACTGAAACTGAAAAGCACATGTCATTTCCTCCATAAAGATGGGTTCTGCAGATAGACTATGTGCTATCTTGAGGACCCAGGGAAGGATCTGGTGTGGCCTTGGTCATACAGATAGTGCAGAGGTCATCTAGACTATTAATTATCTCTGGTCCTGCTGTGGGATCTTGGGGGAATCCGGATGTGGACTTGCCCCACAGATAGCACCGGGATCACCTAGGATATTAGCCATCTCCATTCCCAGTCTTCTGAGAGGAAACATGTTATACGTCTCTCCTGTGGAAGAAATGACCCTGCATGTCTAATGTTCCTGGTTTCCCTAGTGCTTATCTGTGAGTGCAAGGATGTGCTCCCACCATTTTCTAATACAAGTAAGGGTGACGACCTGCTTCCTGCTGGCACTGAGGATTGTATCCAGGTAATAATTAAAAGGAGAAACAGCAGGAAGTGTTGGTTGGCCTGCCTTCCTGATAAGGTGGGAAGTTGTCCAGAACATTCACAACTCTGAGGGCCACAAATCCGAGGACTGGGAAGATATCCCAGCTCTGAGGTAGGACAGTGTCCCAAGGGTGTCCTGAGACACGGGAACCCAGGAACCTAACAGCTCCAGATGGGACAGTGTCTCAGGGGTATCCAAGTCATGGTACCAAATGTTATTTTGTTGGTTGGCCTGCCTTCTGGTACTCGAGTACCAGAAGGTGTCCCAAAAACTCAACTCCGAGGCCACAAATCCTAGTCACAGCTCTGAGGGCTGGCAAGGTGACAGTGTCCCAAGGGTATCTTGAGACACGGGAGCCCGGGAACCTCACAACTCTGAGAGGCTTCCTCAAAAGAGATATTGTAGCTCCCAGGGGAGGGTTGCCCCAACCTCTGATGAACTGAGGAGCTTTGGAGTCTAAGCTCTGCTCCTTCTTCATTTTTTCTTTCTTCTCTTCTCTCTCTCTCTCTCTTTTTTTTTTTTTTTTTTTTGACAAGTGAGTCACAGCAGGCAGTAAATCTTTTAAAAGAGATTTATAGAAGGGACAGATCCTGAGTGGCTGCCTCTGTCTGCTCCAGGGAGAAGGCAGCAGGAATCTGGGGCAAACATATCCTTTATTTGCGGTTTCTTAGGGGGCAGAGCTTTCTGGGGCAGGGATTTCCAGAACGTGGAGTGGTGGAATTTGAAGTCCTGAGCTTTGGGGAGATCAGTGATTGGTGGGCTTTCCTGTTCAGGGATTAGTCAGTTTTCTTGCTCAGGGATTGGTAAATTTTCCTGCTCAGGGACTGGTGGGTTTGTCCAGTCTTTTCACCTTCAATTTGCATAATCTGGGATGAGTCCTACAGGGGCTGGAGGTGACGGTTACAGAGGTCTGGTCACTTTTCTGCCTTGGAGGGTTATAAAGTATACAAAGCAGTGTCCAAATTTTACAGAGTTCACTGTGATGGCAGTGGACTGAAGCAGGAAAGCAGGAAAGCTTGCGGTTATCATGGACAGCTCCCATGGCAGCAGTAGGCTTTCTGAGGCAGGAAAGGTGTCCAGTACCCACAGGCTGAGGCAGGAAGAGTCACCCTGGACAGCTCCCGCTGAGGCTCCACTGAGGAGTTGCCGCCATTTTGTCTCCTGCCTCCACAGCCCCAGGGTAGGAAGAAGGGCCTGACTGACTGCCCTGAGGCGGAAGGGGAGCTGGCAGGGAGCCTCTTGCTACTATGTGTTTCACTGGCTTGTAATCATAGCACTTGGAGGATACAAGGATACGCTCTCATCCCTGCTGAGGCAAGGGGGTGGGATGGCGTGGGTCACCACGGCTTGTGGGGCATCAAGACAGCTTGGGGTGGCAGGCTACCTCAGCTTGGTGGGCTGCTCCATGCCTTGGGGTGGGTTGGAACAGCTGGGGCTTGGAATTCCCTCGGCCCAGGGCGATCGCTGTAGTGGGCTTAGGGTGGCAGGTTGCCTCAGCTTCTAGCCTTACAGAAGACCCTTACTGCTTGTCCAAGGAATTGCTGGTAATTAGGATATATATATGGATATATATATATCTCCAACACCTTTGTGTATAGGAGTTCATATATATAACATATAACAATACATATACAGTTTATATATAATAATTAAAATTTATATATATAACATATATATTAATATATAAAATTGTCAACAGACAAAAATTAGTCAATAAAAATGTCACTGTACAACAAATATACATTATTAAAAAATTAAGACAAGCAAGCCAGCAAACAAAACCCTTAGTTTGTCTAAGGGCAGGTATGGTCTAGGCAGAAGAGCCCTAAGTTTGGCAATGGGAGGGGTGAGCTCAGGTTGGTTCTTCCCCAGCAGGGGCGATATGGGGAGCACAGAACAGTTGCTTTGCAGTGAAATCTGTGTCCCTACGGTTGTTCACATCTCTCCCTTTTAGTACCAGGAGTAGTCACAGGGTCAGGGGGAGGCTTGAGAGGAGTCTTTACCTCTTCCTGGCAGACAGCTCACCTAGGAGGTAATGCCTCAAGTATGGCTGCCTCCAAAGCCAAGAGGGAATTACTCTAGGTGGAGGGATTCACATGAGCCAGCTCTGTGGAAAGAAAGGCTTTTTTTTTTTTTTTTTTTTTGGTTTGCCCACATAGTTCATGTCGGCCAAGGAGAGGTCAGGGAAAACCCACTCAAACAGAGGGGGGTCCCGTGGCCATTGTGCAACTTTTGAATGGGGTCATTTCCGCATTTTTCCATAGACAGCTTGGAATTTCTGAAAAATATTTATATAAAAACAAATCATAAACTAAAGGACACTGTGACAAAAGTCACACATGCGTTGGAGTTCCATCAGCCCAGTTCCCATACCTCCCTAGGTAAACTGTGTTCTTAGTCTTTTATGAATCTTTCTAAAACTTTAAACATTCATACCTGGGCTGAAGAGATGTCTTCAGAGGGTAGCTGCACCTTCTGCAGAGCCTGCTGAGCTGAGTTCAGTTCCTACTCCCCACATGTCGGGAGGAGAGAACCCAATAAATTGTCCTCTAACCTTCATATGGTATGCCCCCCCCCCAGTAAGAAATAAAATATTTTTAAAATAAAATAAAAATGTGTATCCATGCAAGTCAGATGCATATGTCTCCTCTCCCCATGGGTTGGTGCATTTTGTGTGATCGTGTACCACTGATGTCACATCACAAATGTTCCTTAACTCTGTAGTGAAGCTGGATGGCTCGATACTGCACTCGTGGTTGGAAAATTCCTCCCTCGTGGCCGAGTTTACAGAACCGTCCCCTCCTCCCCAGCAGAGCTAATGCGTTAGTTCTACTGTCCCATCATCCCCTTGGAAACAGCAGTGTGCAGTGTGACCTAAGGCAA